CAACACACATTTATTCCACGCCAGGATGATGTTTGTGAACACGCACCCACCCACCCACACACACACAAACACACACACTTTCACCAACTCCCCATCTTTCCTCGCTATAGCACACTTTGGAATGAGTAAAACAGACTCTGGTAGGGTTTTCTGTCAGTTGTCGGCGCTAATCGTTTCCACGCAGCCTTCTGTAAACTGTAACCCTGCGAGCAGCTTGGGTGATGGGTCACTCTGCCTGCTGGTGGGTGGTGTTTGAGATTCCAAGCAAAGCTATTTAGATATTTTGTGAAAATGCCGTACGTTGTGTTTTTCTAAAGCAAGTGCAAGTCAATAGTTTCTTTAATAATTGCTTCTCTGGAAGGCTTTTTAAATTTAAAAGTGTAATGATTTAAGATGAGTGGTGGGGGGTTGTTTTTAGTCATCAGAGCAAATTAATCATTTAAATCAGAGCTTGTTTCTAAAATACTCTATAGAATGTGGGCCTTCATCGAGCCTATTGAATGACTTATAAGCTGTTTATCCTGTAATTATTATTTTTTTATCTGAGTGCTTTCACCAGAAACATAATTTGGACACTTTGCTCAAGTATTAAAAAAACAGAGAGTACACTAAGAAAATAATACGTAGAGGAAAAATTCATCATTCAGATTATTTTTACTTCTTCCTGACAGATGTGCAGTTAGTTGTTTTAGTCTCATAAGTTATTTTTACAAAAATTGTCAACTGATATGAAGAAATCTTCAGATCTTTTACCACAAAAAAAATTTAGGAACATTTCAGTCATCTTATTTTGAAATAATAAATGACACATTATGCAAAAATGTCATYAATCAATAAGCGTGTTTATTGCTAATCAGAGGGAACAAGTTAAAGGCAACATCTGCAAAATCTTTTTATTTTTAGTAGTTAAACACATTTTGTTGTGTGCTTGGAGCCTCTAAGAGTGACYAAAAATTGAATTTAGTCTCTCCTGGTGCTTCAAAGARATCTTTATATTCTGACTGAGTCATATTTTTTCAACCAGTTCAGTTTTTATTTCTTATGACGTTTTCTGAACTATTCTGTCTGTGAAGAAACAGCCTCAAAATGAGTTGATCTGAGACACACCTCAGAAAAGGAGTGAAAGAGGGGCTTGTGAAATTACAATAAGGAGGAATTCAGACCAAAGCATTGAAGTTCCACTTTATATAGACCCCAACTGAATGATTTAAATGTGAAAAAGAAGGYTTTAAACACATGACYTGTCTCCTTTAAAGCCAATGAAATAGAACAAAAGAAYCAGAAACCAGGGATCTCTCATCTGATCAGCCTGGAATGTCAAATGAATGTCAGTGTCACTGAGTAAAGATTTGTCCACACACAACACACCCAAAAACAGAATCTTAAGGTGAAAATCAAATGAGATGCATTTTACTCCAGTGTATTCTAGATCACATTGTGAGGTTTTGTTGTTTGCGTTGAGCTTTTTTTCTTCTATTTTCCAAGCTAAAATGCAAAATCTTTGAACAGTGTGTGTACACATTTGTGCACTCACTTCTGAAGAAAAAGGAAAATATATTTTTTCTGACTTGCTGATCATGTTAATCACAATGTGGACTGTTGGGTAAGTCAAGTCGGTCAGGCAGCGTGTTGCAGACTTTATCCACACAGTGCCACCCTCAGTTTAGCTGTGGCAGCATGGCTGGCCTTCCTACAGCCTGGATCCCTCTCCAGCTAAGATACACTCAAGCTTTGAGCCCCACCTTTACAGCTGAACACGCTGTCAACAGTTTGCACACTAAAGGTGACGGCAGGTCTCTGTTTTTGCAATAATTACTTGCATTCTCACACACAGCCACACACTTTGCCCCCACAATCTCCTTGGCTAATTGCATTATTGCAGTGCGTGGCAGACAAGAAATGCCAATAAAGATAGGAGTCCTGGGAACGACTGAACAGAGGAATGGAGGGGTAGGAACGAAAGGAGGTGAGATGAAAGTAGACTGGGTGGAGCAGAGGTGAGAGATAATCAGAAATGATAGGAAGAATGAAGGTTGGATTTTATACCTTTATATCCTGTTTGCTTTCCTGCCTACCACTCAGCCATCAGTTTAATCCGTTTATTATCCCATATCAGTCTACTTCTTCCTTTCTTTTAGAATAAACATGAATAAAGAAAAGCAAAACCACACGAGGTTTCCTCTGTTTCCCATACACTGAGGCAGGTAACACTCCAGGGACGGATGGGGCGACCAGGTGCGCTCGATAATATGGTCAGCTTGCGGGTTAAAGGGAGGGACTGACAGAGGCGGGAGCTCCTGGACTCGGTTCACTGCGGGGGGACCTCTTGCAACATGAGCGTGAGAAACCCATTCAGGCGGAGAGTGCTTCGGTATACCTGCACTCTGACTGCAGATCATCAGTGCGTTTGTTTGGGAACTCTGTCAGTGGCATTGTGTTGTGTGTGTGTGTGTGTGTGTGCGTGTGTGTGTGTGTGTGTGTGC